ACCCCAGCTGCTCAGACTCAGCGTCCTGAGCAGCCTGGCTCACTCGGCCCATTCCTGTGAAAGCATGACAAGGCTCAGCAAAGGGTGGCCCTCCAGTGCCCCCTCCGGGGTACTCACTGGGACACTGGTTTCAGGTGGCAGCCACGAGACCTCATTCAGAACCAAGGGGCTGTTCCGTTGCCCCCAGCTTGGCAGCTTTCTGAAAGGGCACTGGCTCCCATTCCCAGGAGGGCCTCAGCCCACAGGGTGACCCTTCGGCTGCTGCTCTCAGCTTTTGCTGCCCACAGTGCCCACTACCTCACCTGCAGCCCCAGCTGCAGCTGGGACTTCTCCCACACACTTGGGCTCAGGTCCCTGCTGAGGCTGGGGCTCTGCGACCTCCTCCTGAGGTCTCTAAACCTTTATGAGAGATAGCAGGTCCCCTACTCCTGCAAGACTGCGACCTCTCCTGTGCCCAAGTTCAATCTGACAATGGCCCTGGTGCTGAAAGATACCCCATCTCCCTCTGGTATCTTCAAGGTGATCGATTTGCGGTCCAGGGGTCTGTGGGGATGTGGGGGGAGCTCCTTGGACTCCCCACTCCCCCACTTCCAGGACAACAGCGGAGCCCAGGCCTGTGCCCCACTGCACTCTGGTTCCCAAAGGAATAACCAGCCAGAGCGCAGCTTTTGGCAAAACAGTTTTATTGTGCAAAAAAATAAATGTTACCTTTGACATACAAAAAGGCATTTTAAAAACTGTTTTAAAAAGGCATCTGTTCTCAGGCTCTTAACATTTTAGGTACCTACATTTTCATAAAAACCGGGAGTTTCCCTGTCTGAGAAAACTCCTGGCCCACACCAGCTGCAGACAGGGGTTAGAGGCCACTGCTCCACTCCTCACTCCCCGACAGTCACCCACACCCCAGCTACCTGGTGTGGAGCTGAGAGTGAAGATGCCCCCCAGGAGGCAACAGGACCCTTGACCTTCTCAGGGGGCCACAGCTCCTCCCTTATGTGTGGGCTCTGGGGACAGTGCCACTGGGCTATGCCCCACAGACAGAGCTGGGAGGAGACTGCTATCAGCATGACACCCAGGGAAACTGAGGCAAGGGGGTTTGGTTACCAGCCCATCAGGGCCTTTCCTGCCATGCACGAGCAGTCACTGCCCAGACAGCTTGCTTGATCTCAGAAGGTGTCCCCAGGTCCCCACTGCTTCTGTCTGCAGCTGGTGGTGGCAAGCTGGCATCCTTGCAATCTCTCGCTGTCCCCCACCTCATGTGCTGGCCAAGACCAGGGATATGACATTCTGGAAGACCTTCTTGCGGTCTTCTGTGGATGCCCACTGCCTCGGGCTCCTGCCGCCTCCCCTGAATGAAAGCATCTGGCCACGCAGCACCGGCAAGGTGTCCTGCCTGCCCCGGCTTAGGTGGCCTTTCAGGCTGACGATGCCCCCGTTAGAGCCACTGATGTCGCTTCAAACATCACCCACTCTTGCCAGGGTCTGCAGACCCTCCTGGGCCACATCTGGAGGCAGCAGGCATTCAGACCCCTCTGTGGTCTCCCTTCAGGGTGAGTCACTGCATGGCCACCACCCCTGACCCCACCAAGCCCCGCTCATCTGCAGCCTTCCCCGCCACAACTCACGGGGCTGGGGACCCACTTCTCCCCTGCTGTGGTGAAAGCAACATGGCGTGGAATTCATCATGCCTGCTGCAGGCAGGCAGAGGCTGAAAGACCTCCCTTCTCAGGGAGCAAAGAGAAGTGTGGCTCTCATACAAGGATGGAGAGAGGACAGGGACATCTGGCGGGAAGATTCTGATAAACACCTGGGGACAAAGTTCCCTGGCTGTCTCAAACCTTAGTGGGCAGAGTGTTCTTCAGGTGTCCCCAGATGTCCTGGGTCCCGCACAATTCCTTGTCCTATCTCATCTCTGTCAGGACACCCTGCTTGCCCTGACAGCTGTGCGGAGCAGAATTCCCTGCAGAGAGCAGCGTCTGGTGGCAGGCAGGGTGGGGACTGGGGGAATCCGGACCCCCTGGAGCCTTCTGCCTGTGTCCTGTTTGCACACTTTCTGCGGACCCAAGGCCTACAGGAAGGCATTCCCACAGCATACAACAAAATGTAACCAGGCGGGGCAGCCACGGGGCTGCACACGGTTGGCAGGGGGAAAAGTCGTTCTGCCTAAAAGCTGCATCTAGGCAGAGCGCATGAGGCTCACCGGAAGCTCCCCTCCCTTGCTCCATCCTACCAGGCTGGAGAGAGGCAGGAAGGATTCCAGGGAAGCGAGGCAACTCCCAGGGGGGCCCCACCCTGCCAGCACCAGCCAAGAGCCCTCCCTGGGGCCACTCAGAAGTGCAGGAATTACCTTCCGTCCAGGCCAAGGGAAGCTCTCATTATGCTGCTAATTTGGGGCCAGAGGGGGAAAAAGTGAAAAGTGTTGATTTGGGGGGAAAATCAACAAGGTGAAACCATTTTACTCACAGTTAACAGGCAATTTGCCTCCAGGTCCAAAATCAGAATTGAGCTCTCCAGAAGGCCCCTGACTCGTCCCCCATCACAGTGGGGACAGTGTGCTGCACACAGGCCTGGGCCCCGGAAGAGATCCCCTGGCTGTTTGCTGCAGTGCACAGGTGGGCCATACATGGTGCACCTCCCCTACCTGGGCATCCAAGTCCTTGCCAGCCCAGCAGACCCAAGACCAACACCCAGACCCCCGCATTTCTGTGGGCAGACTCAGAAGCCAACAGGTTGGGGTGAGGGGCTCAGCCACCAGACCAGATTAGAAAGCTGGACAAGGGTTATTTTTCCAACCCTGTCCCAACTCACTTTAGTGGGTTGCAAGCAGCATTTTTAAATGAAAAATAGACTATCAAGGGAATCCAGATGTGAAGAGGAGGGGCAGGGAGATAGCTCAGTGGAATAGGCACTTGCCTGGCAAGCGAAAGGACCTGAGTTCAAACCTTGGTTCTGCAAAAAAAAAAAAGAAAAGAAAAAAAAGAAAGAAATCAAATAGATGTGAAGAGGAAGAACTCCTTTGTGAAGCTTGGCTTAAGACACAGATTTGTGGGCAGATGTGACTGACGGGTAGCACGAAGCATCTTTCTCGCTGCACACCGTGGTCCATAAGGGCACCTGCCAGATGCTTCCATCCGGATCTGGACCCCTCTGCTCCCGACCCAGGATGGAGAAGCAACAAGGGTTCTCTGCATGAAAACGGACCCTCTGAGGCTCGGGCCATCGGTGACTCAGTATTATTCAGAAATCGTGACACGATGCCTGTCCACCCTTCCTTCTACAGCAATCCTGGCATCACTACCAACGAAATTTGTTCCTAAAGAACAGATGGGCAAGCGCTGGGACCAAGGACCCTAGCGGGCTGACCTGGAAGGACAGGTAAGGCACAGTTGGTCCTGTGGCAGTGTGTGGGCGCCCTCGGGTGGCTGGATGTAGAACTTCCCAGATATCACCTGTGTCAGCTCCCCAACCAGGGCTTTGGCTCTGCTAGGCGGAGCTTTCTTAGTATAGGAATGTCTGTCCTGGCACCCCAGGCCGCTGGGGGAGAGGTAAGCAGAATTTGAACAAGGCTGCCTTTCCTATGGAGGTCTGGCTAGGCCCCCCGCACCAGTCCCCAAGGGAAAGAGAGAACTGATTTCAACGCATGGCCTAGAAGGAAGTGCAAATAATGCCGAGTGGTCTCTCCCCACCAAATAAAAACTCCGCAAGACACTGGGCCTCCATGGCCAGACAGCTCAGGGGACCGTCACACAGAGACTGGACTCAACCATTCAAAGCCCTGAGTCTTGGGAGTTCTGTTTTTTGTTGTTGGCTTCCTTAAAAGGAATTTCAGAGCCTCCGCCAAGGGGTTCAGAAAAACAGGTAATGTTAGCCTCTGGCTTCCAGAAGTCAGGGAACCCTGAACAGGTGGAGAAGCCGGGGAGCAGCCCTCAGGGGAGCAAAAGAGCCCCCAACAGTAGTCTGGAGACTTTCTGATATCTCAGTTACCTCTCTGCATTAGGACAGGCGGGGGGAGGGGGACAGCAAGGAACAGGAAAGGGCCAGAGGACAGCTTCCTAGGGGAGCTGCCTAGGAAAGGACCCAAGGGTGGGCTGAACCTGAGGCAGTGCTGAGTGGCTCGGGGTTGGCCCAAGGCACCACACCCATGAGGCCCTCTGTACCCTTCTCGCCACCAACCCAGGTCCCCCTTTTCCGCAGAGACAGTTCGTAGCTTTCTTTTCTCAATGTGTGTTTTTGGCAGTGCTGGGGATGGACCCCAGGGGCTCACAGTAGCTCAGGGCAAGGGCTCTCCTGCTACCCCCAGGCCGCTCCAGGCTTATTTTGCTGGTGGATCCCATGAGAGCCTTTCTTAAACTTTCTCTCCTGACCCAGAGCAGGGTCTCTATCTCCCTGCCCCTGCATCTTTCCCCTAATACCAGGTGTGAGTGACCGTCCAAGGGGCTGGGACAGGGCTTTGTCCTCTCCTCTCTGGGCCTCATCTCAGCTTCCAGAGAGCAGGAACACACAGGGCAGGTGGGGCATTCAGAGGGAGGGAGGACGGCAGGTTAAAAGGCCCAGGAGTGATCAGGGCAAGGATGCCCGGTCATCCCAGGAAGGCCTCGTAGTCCATGTACCAAACCAGCTGGCCAGAGCTTGGCAGCACACCTGAGATAGGCCACTTCTTGGGCTCATGGCCCACGCGGCTCACTAGCATGGTAATCTCACGCTTTGTCCGGCCCATGACCAGGACGGCCACCTTCTTGGCCCGGTTGATGAGCGGTAGGCTGAGGCTCATGCGCTGGTAAGGCCTGGAGGGGCTCTGGGTCAGTACCACCAGCTGCTCGCCATCCAGGCCCGTGGGCGACTGTGGGAAGAGGGAGGCCGTGTGCCCGTCAGTGCCCATGCCCAGCAGCACCAGGTCAAAGCTGCTGTTGGCCACCAGAGCTGAGATCTCGCCAGCGTAAGTCTGGGCACCCTGGTCCTCTTCAGCACACAGCCGCTGGTGCAGGTGCACAGGCATGGGGTGGATGTTGTAGTAGGGCACGCGGATGTGCTGCAGCAGGTGAGACTGCAGGCCCTGGAAGTTGGAGTCGGGATCTGACAGAGGGACACAGCGCTCGTCAACCAGCCACAGGTGTGTGTGGGCCCAGGGGAAGCTGTAGTGGCCCATGGCCAGCTGCTGGAACAGAGCGATGGGGCTCGAGCCACCCGACAGAGCCAGGTGGAACTTGCCAAAGCGCCGCACGGCCTGCACAGCAGTGGCCTCGATGTCACTGGCCAGCTTGGAGATCAGTTCCTCTGGCCAGGCTGAGATCAGCGGGCTCTCTCGGTACCTGGTCCCGAGGACCCGGAAGTCACTGGGCTTCGGGGCTGACCCTGGCCCTGGCACCAGCTGCTCAGGCTGCTGCTGGGAGAAGGTCAGGTGGCCGCCATTAAACTCTAGGTCCAGCAGGTGGCCAGTCTCCGCTCCCCCTGGGTAGAGGCGTGGGACCTCGTGGGCCAGGCTGTCTAGCAATGGGGTCCAGAAGACCCAGGAGGCCAGCAAGTTCTCTGTGGTGATGAAAGACTCCTTCCGGCAATGGAAGATATGGGACAGGAGGATGGAGTAGGCGTCTCGCTCCTTTACAGGGCTATAGGCATAGAAATCGGACAGGGGACGGCCGAAAACCTGGAGCCCAGGCCGCTCTTGCAGCTCCATCCAGCCATGCGCGGGCACAGATGGCCTGAACAGGTTCCGGCTGACCAGGATGGCAGGATGACCCAGCTCACCGTGCCCGATGTGGAAGATGATCTGCCGGGGCAGACACTGGCTCTGCTCTGGGGCCCAGTGCCCCTCGCGATGCACACAGAATGCCCTGTTCTTGAACAGGATCCGAACGTAGCCCACTCTCTCATCCAGGGCCTTGCCGGACATCAGGATGAAGGGCACGCCCTCCCAGCGCAGGTTGTCAATGTGCACAAGGACACCTGGTGCAAGGAAAGAACAGAAGGTGAGGCCCAGCCCACTGCACCCCAAGGCCTCCACAGAGCCCTGCCTGGTGACCCCAGACTCTAGCCCATCTTTGGTATCCCCTCTTCCCACCTGGTGTTCTGAAACCAACCTCCAGGACCACCTGCAGCAGGGACACCAGATTCCCCAGGTCCCTGAGGATCCTACTCCAGCCAGAGCTATCCCATGCTGGGAAAACAGGTGGGGATCCTGACACTTGGGGGATAGGGAGTCCAACGGGAACAGGTGCTCCCCTCCTGCTTAGAGGGCCCACCACACTCAAATGAAGGTCAGGTGTGGGCCAGGAGATGGCAAGGGGCATGGGTGAGCACATGTGTGTGCAAATCAGTGTGTGTGTGTGTGTGTGTGTGTGTGTGTGTGTGTGATGGTGCTAAGAGCCTGGCTTAGTGTCATGGCTTCAGGGAGCCTCCTATCTCCTCACCTATACGAGGAGGTGACACTGGCCTCTGCCTTGTGGGTCTGTGCACGAGGTCTGAGGCAGCTGGCACCTCCCACAGCTCTGTGGACAACTGCTGCTCTTGCAAGTGGTCACTACCCTCTGCTAGAGCTCACTGAACTCCCAGAACCATCTGGAAGGTGGCCCTGGAGGCATCTGCCCACAAGGTCTTGACCTGTAACTAGCCAGTTTGCACCTACTTAGGAGGGCTACATGGACTGCAAGGTTAAGGAAAAAAGCCCAGTGTGGGCAGCCTGGTCTATCTTAGCAGCCAGAAACCTCCAGGGAGCCTCCCGGGCTTGGCCAGCACCAAGGCAGATTGAGATCCCCAATGTGAGGCCAGTTGCCCTGTGAGCGCCAACAAGCGCCTCATACGCTGCAATGACCATCGGGCCCAAGGAAGGTGACCATGCCCTGAGCACCCTCCTGCCAATCCCATCTCCAGCTTCTCTGCCCAGAAGCAAAGGGGCTGGACTGGACAGCTGCAACCGCTGGCAGCCCGCACCCCAGTGGTCCACGGGAAGCGCACCTGCAAAGGTGGGTGTGAGGCTGTGGAAGCTCTCGGGCCTCTGCAGCTCTCTGCGTGCCTGTGCGCTGTAGGCCTGGTACTGGCCCAGGACGGCGCTGCCCCTGTGCAGGCCCCGCAGGGCGCGGAAGGCCTGGAGCTTGTGCTGCAGCACGGCTGCGGAGCTGCTGACGTCATGGGGCAGCTCCATGGCCACCAGCGTGAGGATCTCGGTCAGGTGGTTCTGCAGGATGTCACGGATGACGCCATACTCCTCATAGAAGCTGATGCGACCTGGGAGAGAGGGGCAGCATCAAGAGGGCCCCTGAGGTGCCACAAAACGCCCACTTGACACACTTGTCTTGGCATCCGCAGCCCTGGAAGCCCAGAGCCAGGTGGTGGGGGAGCCAAACAAACCACAGAATAAGTACGGGAGCCATGGGGCCACCACCCTGCATAAGAATGTCCCCAGAGACAGTGTCAGGTGCCTTGACCTCTCAGGGATCAGTGTGCGAAGGATCTCCTCCAGACAGCACTGGCAGATGGTGCCCAACCTCACCACGGCCACAGGGGTCAGCGCAGGCATTGCAGGGACAGCTGGGTGCCAGGACCCACTGCCACTGCCTGGTATGGGATCTCAAGTGACTTGGCTCCAGCTTCTGTATCCTGCCATTGAGGAGGCGAACGAAGGCCACCTGAGACCCGCGTACACTTGTGCCGGGGAACATGCGGGAGTGGGAGGGAGGGAAAACAGGCAGGAAATGAAATCCCAGCAGACCTCGACAGGGTGATGGGCCGCTGGAGGAGCGCGGCACAGCCCAGCACAGAGACTCAGGGGCCCACCGCCACAGGTACACAGAGCCCCTGCCACATGCTGTGCTGCACACGGCAGCCGCCTGCTCAACCCTGCTCTGCTGAGAGGAAGGAGCCAAACGATCAGGGCTGGGACAGTGGGGCCACCACACCACATGCTCTTCTCCAAGGCAATGCCTGCAAGCTGTGGAGTCCACAGCAATACAAACAGCACTGTGGGACCCTGGGACTCAGACACACGCCAGCTCCCACAGGGCAGCACCGCTGCAGACACTCAGCCTGGTCCCCGTGTCGCCCACCAGGAGCGCTGACACCAAGGCAGAGGAGCCACTGTCTGCCACAATCACGTGCTATTTCCACATGACAGCAGCCTTTTCACCAGCTGATGTCCACACCCCCTTGAGGTCCAGACCCTCCTGTAGGCCCCTCTTCTCCCAGCCCATCTGACCATCCCTCTTCCCTGCACCCAAAGGGACAGCCAGGGTGGGCAGTGCCAACGCATTCCTGACACCTAACCCAGAGCAGCATTCCTAAGGCGGATAGCAGGGAGAACAGATTCTCACACACACGCTCACGTAATGCCATGAGGCATGACCCCTGGGGTACAGTAAGACTTAAAGAGCCGGCCAAGTTAGTGCGCAGAAGACAGACACTGGTGGAGACGGTAAGGTACACAGAAAAAGGCCAGGTGCAGCACGGAGCTCAGGAGAACGGTGACCGCCTAGCATGGTTTGGTTCCCAGTACCAGAGGGGACAACAGGTCAAGAGAGACAGAAAGATCTGTACCTGGGCACTGACTGCACGAGACTCTTCAGCAACATTAAACAGCGGGCAATTAAGGAACCAGGCGTAGACAGAAAGAGGAAATTGGGCCTCAGAAAGGAGAGGAAACCGAATGCAGGGAGCAAGGCTCAGAAGGGGTCGAAGATCTGTGTAAGAGGGGCCGGGGGCTGGAGATGCGGCTCCACGCCGGCACCTGCCTGGCCTGTGGAGGCCTAGGCTCCCTCAGGGCATTGCCAAGTGAAGGAAGAAGCAAACATGAGCAGCCGGCGGGAGCCAGGCGCAGATCACACGCGGCTCCGCACATGCGCATGCTCCGCACTCCTGCACCGGCTTCCCAGGCGATGCTTAATTCAGACAGAGAGGAGGCCCCTGGGACCTGAAGGTCCAGTGCACTGCTCAGAGGGGCCACCTGGGTCCTTAGCACCTTCCCTGACCCTCGGATCAGCCACTTGGGGGCATGGGGACAGGACTGGGCCTGGTCGGCAGAACAACTGCCCTGAATTCAGCCCTGTGCCCCATGCCCAGCAGAGGCACCAGCACCGTGGGTGAGAAATGGGGCTGCAGCCTGCTCCCCAGACGGCCCGGCTGCTTTGCTCTTTACCAGAGTGTGAAGACATGGCCCTAGTCATGGACTCGGAGCCCCGAGATGTGCGGGACAGTCAGCCCTCCTGTACCAACCAAGGGGCCCAAAGCAACAGAGTGGCCCCCGCCCCACCCCCAGTATCAGTCTTCCACCCTTACAACACTGCTGAGCAGACATCACGGCAGGGGCAACACTAGCACATGAAGGGAGAGAAAGAAGAACAGACAGCCAAGCACGTGGACCAGCTCCTCACAACAGCTGTGCTCTGGATGTGCTTAAATGCATATTAATAAAAAAAAAAAGTGGAGGGGCTGGAGTGATAGCTCAGTGGCATAAGCGCCTGCCTGGCCAGCACAAGGTCCTGAGTTCGATCCCTGGTCCTGCATGCTGTATGGGCATCAGAACCCCGGGAGCACCGTGCTGGCTGCTGAAACTGGGCATTGTGGTGTACTCCTGTAATCCCAGTGCCAGGGAGGGCTGAAACAGGAGGATCACCACAAATCCAAACTGTGTAGTAAGACCCCATATCAAAAAAAAGTAGAAAAACCCAACAAACAAAAAACCAGTATGTGACTCTCAGCCCACACATTCCTCACAATAGCAACACATAAGCACATCCCACCCTTGCCCCCACTTGGAAATATAAAGAAGTGAAGGTTTGGAAAGGGTGGACATGTGCCCCAAGTCACACAGCCAGTAAGCAGGTAAAGATTTTGAGATTCAAACCCAGGAAGATTCGGCTCCAGGGTCTCAAAATACCTCCCAATATTAACCTTGGCTTGAGGCTGGACACCATGAGCTGTTCCAGACTTGGAGGTGGGGGGTGGGAGGAGAAGCTGGCAGGCTGGAAGGAAGGTCAGGGTCAAAGATCAAAGATCAGAGGTCCCACTACAACAGCAGGTACAAGGGTGAGGATCTGTCCCCAGGGCTCAGAGTTAAAGCTTGCCTCAGCTGCAGCCCCAAGCACCTCGCAACCCAAGGGACCACATCAGCAGGACATGAATGACAGATTTCTGGGACAGTTGTTCATTTTCTTCCTTCCCTGAGGTGTTGGTGCTGGAACCCAGGGCCTCACTCACACCAGACAGTGCTCTACCTGGCCACAGCCTTTGTTCAATTGTAAATGTGTGTGAGTAACTCAGATTTTTCTTTTGAATACTGAGCCTTGGAGCATTGTATGTGCGTGACTCTGCCCCAGGCCTCATCCAGGCCAGGTAAAGGTGAGTAGCAGACATCCATGTGGGTGGCTTGGGGATGACATAGTGGCCTGGCTGGCAAAAGCCAAAAAAACTTCCACTGGTTCATGTTTATGAGGTACCAGTCAATTCTGTTAGTTTATTTTGGGGGCTCACCCCCAAGACATCTCGTTACATATACGCAAGCATTCCAAGACCCAACAAAGAAATCCAGAACACTTTTGCTCACGTGCTCTTCAGGCAAACAATGCTGCACATGTATATCTACACCATAAAATATCATGCAATGAGGGCCAGAGAGATAACCCAGCGGTCTATGCAACTGCCGGGAAAGCCCAAGGACCCAGGTTCAATCCCTGGTACTGCATACCATGCCAGGCATGCTGAGCTGGCCACTGAGACCAGGCATGGTGGCACATACCTATAATCCCAGCTCTAAGAAGGCTAAAACAAGAGGGTCACTATGAGTCTGAACTGTGTAGCAAGACCCTGTACCAAATACATTTTTTTAAAAAAAGTATTATTCAATGATTTAAAAAAAAAACAAACCAACATTAAAGGGGCCAGGGATAAAGTCTTGAGTTCAAATTCCAGTTCAAAAATAAAAAAAAGATGTGAACTACTGACGCACACTATAGCATGGATGTGCTTTGAAAATATGCTAAGTGGGGCTGGTGAGATGGCTCAGTGGTCTAAAGCACCTATTTAGAACAAGCTTAGCAAAGCACAGAGACCGCGGTTCAATCCCCCAGCACCATATGCCAGCCAGCCCCGCCCCCTGGTGGGCTGAGCTGGCCACACACACACACACACACACACACACACACACACACACACACATAAATTTTAAAAAAAGAAAATATGCTAAGTGACATCAGCCAAAGGCCAAGCCTGCATATCTCTCGATCCATATAGGAAATGTCTAGAATAAGCAAATTGAGAGACAGAATGCGGATGGGGAGCTGTCGGGGGCCAGGGCTGAGGAATTTGGGGGACAACAGCTGAGGGGTCAGGCCAGCTTATTTAAAGGATGACAAACACGTTCTAAAATGGATTCTAGTGATGGAAGGACAGCTGTGAATACACGAAAGTCCCTGGATTATTTCAGTGGGTGACTCATACAGTCCAGTGTTTAAGAAGTTCTAAGAGCAGGGAGGTGGAGCCACCAGAAAGCAGGTGGCCACGGAGCCTCAGCTACCTGCAATGGCACAGTGGTGGGGCTGGGGTTAAGAAACCAATGAGACAGCACTTGCTGCCCTCAAAGGGAGGGACAGAGGCCAGAGCAGCGGCAGACCTGGGAGGCGCAGGCACTGTTTAGTGGACGAGGAAGATCCGCTCAGGGATGGGCTGGAGCCACGAGCTCAACACAGACTCCCGACGCAGCATAGGCTGGAGCCATCCCTGAGCAGCTGGCCTGCGTCTCACAGCCACACACCCAGAAATGGAGCAGCTACTGCAATTCTTGGGGTGTCGCCATGAGAGTTAACATCCACATGGGGCTGGACAGGGCTCCTGCACACAGAAACCAGCTGGTACTTTATGATTATCGGCTGGGGCGAGGCTACCAGCCAGGCAACCCAGGGAACACTGACCACTGGAAATAAAGCTCAGGAGAAGAAGATGCCCTGGGGATGCAGCCCGAGGTCCGACGCTTGCGGAGCGTGCACGAGACCCTGGGTTCAGCCCCAGACACCACCCAACAACAGTCAGGAAGAGTGGCTGACATCCCATGAGAAAAGTACAATGACGTCAGTTCCACTGACGGAATCGGGGATGAAGCTGGCTAAAGGAGCCTCAAAGGTCAAGACCGGGGCTTGCAGAAAACACCAAAGGTGAGCGTGAACCGCATCCTGCCAAGTCTGAAATACCCTCCATGGTGAGAGCGCTGGAGCTGCTACCCACTGGGGTAATGGGCCAGTCGCAGGGTGCAGCTCAGAGCACACCACTTGCCACACAGGCACATGGTCCTGGCTTTGATCCCCAGGACTGAAAGGAAAAAAAGGAAGAAAGAAACAGCCACCAATCCACCTAAGCCACCACTCCAAACAAATTTTTTTTTACATAATCAGCATAAAGAGGACAGTTAGAGCTTTAAAAACAGATGCGTTTTAAATGCAGAGAATGCAACTAAGTCCTTAAAAGCCCTGCTATCTGCTTACTATTCATTAATTTAGCGCAGCCCCCAGTGGCCCTCTGCTATTTTTAGCCTGAGTCCCTCCTGCTGGGAAAAGCCGGTGTTTGTTACCCGCTGCGTGGAGCAAAACCGAGCGCCTGTGTTCAGCGCAGTCTATGGGCTATGGTTCTGCCCCACCTTGTGCTCCTCTTGTAAGTGCAGAGTGAGTAGGGGGCCAGGCAGGGCAAGGACCAGGTCACAGGGGCAGCGAACACAGCCACTGTGTTCTGGTCACTGCCAGTCCTCTGGACTTATTTTTTCCTAACATTGATCTACATCAGCCCCTAGTTTACTTTCCTAGGTTGAAGGTTGCGGGTGAAAGCCCAGCAGTATTTAAACAGAACAAAAGGAGCTGGGCAGAGAGCTCCGCGGTCTAAGCACCTGCCTGGCAAGTGCAAAGACCCAGGTTGGATCCCCAGTACTGCATGCTGTGCCAGCCCAGGAACCCCTGGGCATACCATGTGGGCCACCAAAACTGGGCATGGTGGTACATGCCTGTAATCCCAGCCCTGGGGAAGCTGAAGCAAAAGGACCACTATGAGTCCACGCTGTATAGCAAGACTCTGTACCAAATAAATAAGTAAATACATAAACAGATATTTTAAAAATTAAAAAAAAAAAAGGGCAGAAAAAGGCCTGAGCAGTTTAGACAGAGACTCTGTGAACCTGAGTCCAGATTGGTTGGAGGTCCCAGAGCCACAGGGCAGGGGCCCCTTGGTCACACCACAGGGTGGGAGAACATCTGGGAGAGTGTTCCCACTGCCACCACCCTCTGTCCCACTGACTCCACGGCAAGAATGTGCTTGGGGACAAAACTACATTTTAATGCTCATAAATGTAAATTAGCTACTGGCGGCACAATTTTGTAAATATACCAAAAAACACTGAGTCTTCTATTTTAAAGTGTGGATGTTTATGGCCTGTGAATTTTATCTCAATTTTTACAAAACTGAGAAAAACACTACTTAAAATAGCAAAAACTAGAAACCACCAAAACAGAGTTTCTATGACAGAATAAATTAGAGAATTTATTCCGGGGCATAAATAAAACTGAAGCAAAGTAGTGAGCTAGTGAAAGTATTAAGCTGACTGTCAGTGTGTGAAGATTAAACACATACATGTGTGTGTATGGGAGGGAGAAAAATTTGGTTAAGAGGACATATCAGCTGGACAACAATTAGAGGCGACACCCTAAGCCATCCGCCTCTTAAAACACAGCCAAGGTAAGAGCATTTAGGTGTCTCTGCTTGCAAACTTGGAAGGAGGACATTTCCATTTGTAAAGAAGTTCCCCAGCTATCCCATTTAATCCTCCAAATCTCCTGGGAGGCAGAGGTGGTGGGGGTTCTCCACCTCAGAGCAAGGCACAGCAGGAGGTCAGCGCCTCAGCTGTCCTGCTGTAAGAGATCTAGGCCTTCCCAATAAAAACAGCTACTTACAAAAGAAAAGAAAAACAACCAAAAGCCAGCTGCAATACCTTCTGGGGTCACTAACAATAGGAGGGATGAGGCCGGTTGAGGGGAGGGGCGCGGGCTGCCGCACTGCCCCTCTTGCCCACAGACATAGCAGCAGATGGGCCGGGGAGGAGCGGGCCCTGCGGAGTGGCTCCTCCTGGCTCGCGGGCGAGGGTGGGACAGCTGGTGTGGACCTGCAGGGTCTGCTGCCTCCATCCCTATGTCCCTGGGTGAGGGGCACGGGGCAGTCACCCCAGTGCTCAGAGGTAACTGTGGATCTTGCTCCTCTCCCCAGTGTGGGGACAGGAACCCTCCTCAGCTGGGACATCCTTGGGAAGTCTCCCACCTAAAAAAAAAAAGCAGGGAAGGGGGAAGCTTCTGACCAGGGGACAAAGTGTGGCAGCACAGAGCGGGGGCAGGGGGCCTCTGCCAGGAAAGACCTGGCTCCTCCATCTGCAGAACCTTTTCTGCAAGCTAGGGTCGCCGCCACATATAGGTCAAGGTCACACCAATGGCCCACGCTACTGCCCCAGAAGAGCCTGGCCAGGGTCCCAGGTATCTGGGGCTCTCAGGGGCTGGGACTGCGGGGAGGAGTCCGGGAAGCCCAGACTGAGGGCTGGCTTCCTCCTCTTCCCCCAGTGCCTCCTCTGTGGAGCAGCAGCCCGACTCTGCAGCAGTCTCCCCAGCCAGAGGCTGCGGCAAAAGGAAAAAAAAGCCCGCAGAGAGGAGGGAGCCGGGGAAGCCGCTGTCACCCATCTGGATGTGGGTGTAGGGCCTGGGAAAGACTTCCAAATGACCTTGCAGCAAGAAGTCCCTCTCAGGGGCGGCCGCGGGAAGGCCAGACCAGGAAAGCTCCTTCCCGGACACTCCATACAGGAGCAGTCTAGGGTTCCCTGGGCTGGGCCAGTGAGGGCCCCAAGGATGCCTGGCAGGGGACAGGGAGGAGACTCGAATCATCCCAGGAAGGAGCAGCCCAGACTGAGCCCACCACAGTGGCCCTGGCTGCCAGCCACCACCAGCCTCCACCCAGAGGGGTCCCCAGGGCACAGCCTGAGCCACAGCCCAAAGCAGGACAAGGTGACAGCAAAAGCTGGGCTCATAGCTCCAAACTGCATCAGGCAACATCTCGGGACAAAACCTTCAGGCAGGCACATGTGTGTCCTGCTCACAGCTGGACCAGGAGGGCTATGTGGCTTCGACATCCGTCACCCATTGATCACCCCGCTGATCGCAGGGTTGATTCGGTCAGCTGGGCTGGCTGCCTGGCAGGTGTTCCCGTCCCCCTCACTGCTCCATGTGCATCCCTCCTGAAGCTATACTGGGGGAAGGGGACGAGGACCCCTTAGGGAATAGAGGACAGAGAGTAGTGGGTAAGTGCTCCCTGCTACAACCTCCAGACAAGCTCTCAACTGAACTGGTAACACCCAAGGCTCAGCACAGCCTCTCTGTCTACCCACCCCGAAAAAGACAAACTCCATTTGCTCTCTGAAGCCTCTCCTTTGCTGGCCAACCCAGGAATGGGCAGGGGCAAGCAGAGCCCTGGCTACCTGGCCCCCTTGGAGCTGAGGGCGTGGCTAGGGAAGCACCATTCAGCAGCTCAGAAGCACCCTGGGGCTGCTCCTTCCCTCACAGACTCGCCAGGGCCAGCGCTTCTGCCCAGGCTCTTCCCATCTCTGTCCACACCTCTGACTTTCTCCCAAAGCCAAAGACACCTCTGCCAGAACAACCCATCAGTCAGCAAAGCCCTGGGTTCCACCCCACTGAGAACCCAAGTGCCACCTAGTAGCAAGGACAAAGGGAGCGACAGGGTGGCAGAGGTCAGAGCCAGCAGTGCCCCCAGAACTCCAGACTTCTCTGTTCCTTCCCTCCTCTGGTGAGCACAGGAAGCTGCTGCCGGAAAGGCAGGAGGAGCAGGACTGGCCTTCTGTGTTTACCAGGGGCAGGGCCAATCCAGGCAGCAGAGAGAGGTACAGACATGACCGCTGGCTGGCCACAGCAAAGGTGGGAGTGTCACCTCCACTCATGCCTCCCAGAGGCGTCCTTCAAGGCTAGGTTGGAAGTGCTGGCCCCTTGGACCTCACCTGTCTGCTCAGAGTGTGGCCGAATGCAGTCCCTAGCTGGAGCTGCCCCTCACCCCTGTTAACCTGCGAGGTACCAGAGGACAGAGGTAGCGCCTACACTGCCCTGCAGCCCTGCAGCCCTGCAGCCCTGCGCAGAGCTTCTAGCACTAAATACATATTTAAGAGGAAAGGAGAGGAGGCCAATGAATAACCAGGGTGTGGGGAAGCAAATGGCAAATGCAATGAAAAAGAACGCTGGAAAGGAGACAGAAGTTCCGGCCCTCCAGGTCTGAGGCTGTGGGCTCCCACCCCCTGTGGATGCAGAAGGTGCCCACAGGCCAAGCTGGAGCCAATGCTGTGCTAACAGGAGCAAGCATTCGTGCCAGGCTGGATGCCAGGGCCATCCTGCTCCCCAAGGGTCCAATCCCCACTCTTGGGGGACCTTGGACATACCACTAAACCTTATCCATAATAGTCCCCACCTCATATGATGACTAGGGAAGCGAAGAACATAATAAAAATGAGCTACCATTTATTATTGTTGGGGAAGAACCAATGCTTTAAATCTGGTCATTGCTCAAAAATGATGATAATGCAGAATTCCAGTGCTCAAGGTGGCCTTAGCTGTTGTCTCATACAAAATCTGCTCATGCCACAGCCGGGGTCACCCAGGTAGAGGCAGACACAGGCCTATTAGGTCCCCTGTCCCCAGGGTGACACTGTTCCTTCACTATTTAACCAGTGCAGCTGAGGTGGAAACTATAGCTGGCGAGGAGAGACAGGACAGGTATTACCAAGGACAGTACAGTGATGAGGGAGGCCACGGTGCTAGCATCGCACCCAGGGGGGCTGGGTAAGAGGAAACAGGGAACCCCCCAGGTTGAAGCTCCCCCAAGCAGTCACAGAGGTGCGCAAAGCCCTCACACAGTTCTGGTGGCGGCCACCACTCTCGCCTAAAAGTCACGTTAGTGGCCAGCCCTTGCTGCCGGCCTGTGGTGTGGGTGTCCATGCCAGGTGCTTGTTACCCGAGCAAATGCCCCTCCAGGCAGCGAAGACGATGCAGGCTCTGCCAGCAGGAACCCTGTGGCCCCGCTGGCTACAGATCAAGGCACACGGGGGCCCAGGGGACGACCGTGCCCCAGCCCAGAGCTCCCGGCCCAGCCCAGGGGCCCACACTCCACCAGGGTGTGGGTCACTCACACACCTTCCGCATCCACCGTCTCCTTCATGATGACCTCCACCCGCTCTACATGGTGCCGGTTCCAGAGGCTGTCTAGGGCCTTGCGGTTCTGGTCGCGGAAGGGCAGGATCTGAGCCACAGCCTGCCAGGAAGAAAGAGTGTCACATACAGCTTGCTAGGGTTAGGTAGCCAGGAAGTGCTGGCTCCCCGGGGCTCAGACAACGCCATGCCTGCCTGCTTCGGGAGATGCGTGCTCTTCCAAGAGCTCCTACATGTCACTGTTTCATAGCCCGGCAAAGATTCCACAGGGTCAGGCTTGGTGGCGCATGCCTCTAGTCCTAGCACTGAGGAGGGTGAAGCAGGAGGATCGCTGAGCATGCAAGGCCAACCTGAACTTCACAGTAAGACCCTGCCTCAAACAAAACAAACAAACAAAAACGGAATGCACAAACGGAAATGACCTGACTAGTTACCAGGCACAAAGAACACATTGAGAACTGCCTATGTTCTTTGACTATCAACTTTTAATAAAATAAAGGTGCTTCAATGCCAAAAACATAGGAAAAAAAAAAAAAGCCACACTAGGGACACATTCAATATTTCTTCTTTGAAGTCAGCAATTGAAAACCTCACCAGGACTGGCCTTGGTCTGGGAACACTCTTTGGGACTGTTACTATGGCAACTTCCCAGGTTGGATAGAAAAGAAAGTGTCTGGTGCAGGTGATGGGTACCTGGAGGCCAACTCAGCAGCCTGTGGACCCGGGAGGGCCTGTGCCATGCTTGCTTTGCTTGGCTGCTGAGCTGAGTGCAGTGGCCACTGTTTTGTCACTCCCATGGGTGCCACAGGCTCCTGCCTCGGGGCTCAGTTGAGCTTCGTGGGCTTAGGGTACTCGTGCACCCTATCAGTTTCAAAACCTCTTTACCAGTCATCTGGCTCAAAACAGAATTCAGAAAGAAAAAGATTCTGAAAAAGGCAGGTGGATACAAGACGTAATTCTGAATCCCACAGCCTCCACAGTGCCAGGTCAGGTCCTAGCAGAGTTCCCAGGCCACCTCTGTAAAGAAGCCAGGGAAATCAGGCAGAGTCAGAACCCTGACCGGCCAGGAAGCAGGGAGGATGGGGCTATACCAGGAGCAGGGGGCTAGACCACAGACAAAGACCAGCAGCCCACTGACCATCTCCCCACGCCCCTGTACTTCCTATCCACCTGCGGGAACATTGTGGAGCTCAGCACCCACAGGGCCCTAGGGCCTCTTGACCCCACAATAGGTGGCAGGCCCTGCTGATGGGGTCCCCTGGCACCTGTGTTCCCAGCTCTACAGGCTCCAGGGCACAGCTCACCTGCTTGCCCAGGTAGTGGTCCACCCGATACATCTCTTCCTCCTGGAAAAAGCTACCAAGTTCAGTGGCCAGCTGCTGGGCTGAGAGGTGGTCGTGGCCAAAGGGTTTCTCAAAGACTACCCGCAGCCAGGAGCCCGGGCCTGGCCGACAGCTGCTGTTGATGTTGCGGGCAATGTCCACATAGGCAAAAGGTGGCACAGAGAAGTAGAAAATCCTGCCAGTCTCCCGGAGGCCCTCCTCCTTGACCTGTGCCTCAATGTCCTTGGCCAGGGTCTCATAGTCCTCGACCGTCTTTAGCTGGCGGTACTGGCTCAGCCGCAGGAACTGGTCCTTGAGTTCCATGCAGTGACTGGGCTCCATGTCCTTGGGGCAGGAGAGGGACTCCAGGGCCTTGGCCATTAACTCCTGGCCCTGCTTGGGGGCCGTCAGAGCGGCCCCGTGAAAGCTGAAACTATGGTCCTTCCCCACCTCATCTACGTAGAGCTGGAAAAGTCCCTGCCACAAGTACTTCTTCGCCAGGTCTCCCGTGGCTCCCAGCAGGATGATGGAGACGTGTCCCTGGAGCTCCTGGGCCTGCAGGCAGCCCACGAGGGCCACACACACGGCTACCATAAGCATCTTCCAAAGGGCTGGGTACCTGCAGAGCACAGAAAAAACAAGCAAGGGGAAACAGGATCAGACGCGCTCGGGCAGCTGTGTATCTCAGGGAGTGAACACTTCTTGCCCAGTGAGAGCCAGATTCAAGTTTCCTGGGAAAATGTCCCCAGATCCAGGGCCAGTGAGATAGTTCAGAGGGCCTGCTCAGGCAAGTGCAGGGACCAGGGTTTGATCCCTGGCACCACTTACCATGCTGGCCCCACCCCCTGGGCACAATGAACTGGCCAATGATGGGACATGGTGGTGCGCATCTGTAATCCCAGCGCTGGGGAGAGGGGCTGAAAACAGGAGGATCACTATGAGTCCTAGCTGTTAGTGAGATGTAGATACATTTTTTTAAAAAAAAGTTACAGGCCCATGCTTTGCCCTCCTTCCTGGGCGCTGCATCTGTGCCAGGCAGTCAGGGTAGGGAGCAGTCCTATAAACAGGGATTATGCCTGGGAAAGTCGTGGGCCATGGATCATTCTGCAGCCCAGAACCTAGGCAGTGGCAAGCCACCAGAGATGCCACCAGAGAGGCTGAGACTGGAGCACTCACTGTATGACCTGGTCTGTGTCATCCACAAGAGTAGACGAGTTGGGTGACCTTCACTCAGAACTGGTGGCCTCAGGTGACAGCTGAGTGGCATGAAGACATGACTGCTTCTTCTTGCCCCCTGCTTGGCCCATGCCCATGTCTACTGGACTCCACACCCCAATTAATAACTACTTATAAGGGGTCAGCATAAGGGTCAAAGACAGACCCGTGGGCTGGGTCGTGGCTCACCAGCCCTGAAAAAGGGGGAAACGAAACAAAACAGCTTCTGAAACTTACTGCCACTCCTTCCTACCTGGACAGTGATTTAACCTGGCCGCATCTGTTTCCCTAGCATGAGTTAATGTTTAGAACACGTGAAGGCCAGCCTCTGCCACCTCGTAAGAGCCACTATTGGTAGTGGTTATGATGGAATGCGAACCACGGCAGCCCCGAAGAGCCCTGCGGAGCAGATTCCATCGCAGGCGCCCCCTCTGCAGACGGCAAAGCTAAGGGCTCGCAGGAGAAGCTCCCACGGTGAGGCAATGGGGTGCACATGCCCGGAGCCCCTGGGAGCAAGCCCGCTGTGCCACCTGGTTTGCGCCTGATTCTGAGCAGCTGGCACTTCTGAGCAGGTCACAAATGCACAAGTGTCTGCTTCCTCTGGCACAATCTGTACCCCCTGAGCCCCAGGTCTTACTGGGCTTTGGGGTAGGGACAGCAGGAAGACAGAAGAAAGGACACCATGGCTGGTACCACGGGCCTCAAAAGTAGTGCAAATAGGGCCACATCTGGGCCAGGACAGTGAAGGAGAAGCCACAGTGACAGACAGCACCATCACACGCTACCGTGTCACCTGGAAGAGGGTTAACCGGACGAGCAACAGGATTAGTGGGCTGTCGTCCATATAGGGAAACTGAGGTCAGAAATGAAAACCAGACTTACAAAACACCAGCCCTACACAGAGGGGACCCTTACTGTTTTCCACCTCCCCAAGGCGGCCCTAGTTACGGCCACACCAAGACCAAGGCCCTGTTTATAGGTGCCCGCACTAGTGTTCACTGGAAGACTGGCCTCTCAGTGGTTGCAGGCCACCGCCAGCCCCTGACTTCCTCTCCCACTCCCACAGCTGCTCCTGCTCCCAAATGCACAGAGGGCCCCAGACCTGTTCTTGGCCCTCAAGCAGGTGTCTCTTTCTTCCCTGGTGACCCCCCGGCCCGAGGGAAGGAAATGCTGCAAAGTCAGTGCGGCGGAGCAGAGTGGCAGAGAGAAATCTGAAACCCAGAGAACAGCCTAGAGGAGCAGGAGCCAGCTGGCAGCCGCATCACCAACTCCTGACCAGGGCCTGGTACGAGGGCAAAGCTCCAGAGCCTTGCAGGGCGGTAGCAGGTGGGAGGGAGAGGCCAGCACCCCGCCCACAAAGACCACGGACAGCCCGGATGATGGCGCCAGAGCTATGCCACCTGCCTCTGCCTTCTCCTGTGCCACAGTCCTCCCAACCAGCCCTGGCTTTGATTTTTTTTTTTTTT